AGCTTTGAACCAGTTTTTTTCAACCATATAATTTCAAATTCTATTTCTGAAAGCTTGATATAATATCAAGACACCAATGATCCTTTCAGAATTTTTTTCGCTAAAAAATCGAGTTGCTAAGTAACGATACTTCAAGTATGACTTTTGAAACTGTCATCTGGATGAAATAAAAAATCCTCTTAGGTCGCTTTCTGTAAATGCAGAACATTTCTTTGGCTTTTGTACCTATCCTTTGGTTGAAGCTTTCACAAACGCGCGTAATTTAGGGTATGCTTCCAAATCTGTTCCACTTTTTAATCGCAGCATTGCTTTAAAGTTTTGAATGAGTGCACCAAAATATAGAAGATTTAAATACCTTTGACATTTCCTTCATATATGCCAGCATTATGGATGCATTTAAGACTGTATTCGTAACTTCCTATTCATCCATGGAAACAACTTTTCATATTCTTTATAATAGGCTTTACTGGATTTGGATTTTACACCTACCAACGTTGTTTAGATTTTACAACAACCGATTTAATGGACGGTGTATTATCTTTTTCAACGGAAATCGTTTAATTCACAAAGACGATGATTTTTATAAGCAAACGTCAAGTGACATTTCCATGGCAATCGTGAAATTACGAACACCCAGCCCACTTAATTAGACATGTATTCGAGTATAACGTCAATATGACTTCATTGTATTTCCTATTTTTAAATTATACTGCAGGTATAATAAAAAATACTATAAGATACACGTGTATAATTGGTCTTTAAAGCACTTGCAACGTTAAAGGCACTCCGCTTTGCGTCGTGCCCTTAAACTCGTTGCGCGTGCTTTAAAGACTTGATTATACACTTGTATCTTAATATACTATTGTTTATAGATAAATTTCATTTTAGATTCTGTATTAGTGACCTCAAAAATCTAAAGTAACCAATTTCTGGGGGAAAATGATGAAAATTTCTGAAAATAACTCATTTTACCGTAACAAGTTTAACAAATTTTGCTTTAAACATATTCTTATAAACCGATACAGAACCATCGAAGGTTACAACAGGTAGATATCTATAACTGCTATTACCCTTGACCTATTGAACTTAAATTCAATTGTATTCTGCTTAGACCAACAGGAACCTATATCACAAATTTCAAGCTTTTAGGAAACTTCAGGAGTAACCACACGGACAGACGGAAGGATGAGCGGATAAAGGTGCGAAGAAGGGTCATGTCATTGCCTTAACCAATAAACGTCCAGTTTGTCTTATTTTCTTCTAATAGTGGAATCTACCTACTATTACAAGATTATAGCGAATCTTCTAGAGTGATAGATATCACGGTACCATCAAGTCGCCACTAGGTCGATAAAGAATTAGTTATCGGTCATAACGACTCAAAACTAATGTGACTAATTCTTTTCATGAAATGCCAATTCTAGAATTCTCCTTTTTTGTTTGCTATATAAGCAAATTGAAATATTTAATTTGAGTTCAAACATCGAAATGACAAATAGTGAATTTGGTGCTCGTATTAGAAATTTACAATTTATAAAGTAGAGTGATAAATAAAATTAACTGTTATCAAGTCAATCTATATTTAAATATTGATATAAATTCATTAATAATTTATTAATTTTACATTAATAACACACCTAATTAAACTTACGTTACATTATTATTCACTGTGTGCTTGTAATAACAAATAAATGATTAATTTTAGAATTCAGCTAAATGGAAGAATAGGTATTGTTTCGTTGTAGGCAGATCTAATTTAAAATTCAATTGCAATTGGTAGCTTACAGTTCCACACAATGATTTGATAATGTCCAACTTTACATTGCAAATTGATAGCAGTTTAGAGTTATAAGTAATTTTGAATTGAAAATAAGGGTTTATGTTATTTCTACTGATCTTGGGTGTTTCAGTTGTAATTTTACTAACATTCCCCAATACTTGCATTTCAACGATAGATAATAAAACTATATAATGCAGTTAGGTTCATATTTATTTTTGTGCAGATAATCCATTAGTAAGCCAGACGAGGCTAAGAACCTGCATAGCTCAGATGAGTTTACGTTAGTAGCTCCATAGTGTAATACTATGGTAGCTCTAACTTTGGTTGCAAGAGTCCTGGGTTCGAATCCCATGTAACAACTCCCAATATCCTTCTCACTTTAATAACAATGGGGGAACAACCGTGATAATTCGCGTTCGGGTGGGTAGTCAAAGAGGAAAGATGTAGGAATGTGCAACTTAAGCGGGCAACTTACTTAGTAAAAGAAAAGTGTAAACTTGTCGTATAATGCGCGTAGCGCTACTAAAAATATACACCAAAGTATGAACTAACTTTCGGAATACCTACTTCACCACAAGGTAAATTCTTTTCAATTATTATTCATTAATTGAATTCGAACCTTCACCTCCAACTCCACATCGCCCGGAAAACATTAAATGGCATACAAATGCAATAAAATCTGACCTAAAAGATGGAGGATTAGATGTCGTTGCGGTCGGTTCAGTCGTCGAGTTAATCGGTAAAGATGGTGCAAGCAGTGTACAAACCTGAACACACACGAACCTCGATTCTGTGTTTGAAACCAGTAAGTTTGTAAGACCGTGAGTCTGTTCTTCAATACCGCCCCTCACCACCTAAGCACAGCTTCGCGGGGGGGGGGGGGCTAGGGTAGTCGTGTTGGGCAAAAACTGAACCCATTAAAACAATAAAACATTTTGTAGGATTTAAATCCGATTTGGATTTTAATACTTCTGACCTAAAGGGGCAGATCGACTAATTTTGTTATTTGTAGAAGCTCCCTTGCCATCTCGAAAATTAAGTACGATCATTAAAAAAATAAATCTAGGCTTGGGGAAAAGCGCTATCGTTGCTCGATTTTACCGCGAATATTTTTATATTTATTTTGATTTCTGCGCCCTTGAATGAATGAATGTTAATAATCCAGGAAATTGTGTTTTCTACATCTGATATAAGTTATGTCAAAAATCTCTGCTTTTGTTAATAGAAACCATAACCATCTAGGCCTACAGCTTTTTGAATAAATTTAAAAGGCTTCTAATTTCTTGTTTATTTTCTGCCAATGTACTAATTTGAAAGTGCATATAAATGCTATATTGAATAATTGCATATTTTAGAAAAGTTGCATGTTTCGAATATTTTACTCTCGCTTATTTTCTATCAAAAATCTGCATATTACTCCATAATAATTAGGGTAATTGAATTGAATTTATAAATATTTCAGTAAGAGTCTAGGAATAAATTCATTTCAGTAAGATAATTTGTTTATTATCTAAACATCCGATCGGCCCGTGTGGCGCAGTTCAGTTAAAGCTGGACTGTGGTGCTAAGGGTCCTTGGTTCGAATCCGGGTTCGGGCATGGATATTTGTAAATGTATAGTGGGTTGGGTTGGTAGCGCAGCCTTGGCTGAAACCCCGCCCACTCAAAAATATCAAAAATAAAATTTAAAAAAATCCAAATTGCGATCCAAGAATTCGTGCTGTAGAATTATAATTAAAAAAAAACGTTGTAGGTACATTTTATTATGCGAGTATTAGATTCTGTGTATAATTTCTCTTTCTCCATTTCTCTCGCTTAAAACATTGCAGAAAACCCATACTTACTGTGAATTTCTGTATTAGGTTACTTGAATTTACCACTTTTCGTTTAATGCAATTGACAAAATTTTTCTAATGTTACCCTTATTAAATACTTTCATTTAAAATTGAAACTACTTTATTAGTTTACTCGACGGGGGTCATTGAAGAAAAACATTATACGCATTGTAATTCAAACCGAATTCAAAAGTGTTATATAGGGTTTCACGTAAAAAGACCAGAGGAACCATTTTTTTATAAGCCGGTGTAGTGTAAATCTAGACCAGTTTTTTTCGACGAAGGCGCTATTATGGCCACTTTCTCCGTCCGTCCGTCCGTCCGTTCTTCCACAGCCTTAACTACTATAATTTTCAACATATTTAGTTCGTTCATTTTGCAATATATATCTTATAACCTCAAGCAAGAAAAATCTTGATGATTAATGTGCGCATGCGCAACTTGCGCAATGTTAACTTTCTTATTTATGGAGATATATTTTTTTAACATTTTAAACAAAGATTCTTCTAGTAAAGGCAAACATCCGATATAACCTTCAGAAAAGTACGGATCAATTTATAGCGCTAAAGTTACTCGCCTTAAGGCGAAATCCTTTGTTTCAGTTTTTAATATTACACTAGATATTAAATGTTCCTAGGTGTTCATCAATTGTTAGAGTGGAATCATTTTCCTATTCTGTCTGCGTCCGACGAATAAGAATAACACTTTCTACTAAAGGGAATAGGTCGAGACGACGAGATTTAAAACTGAAGTAATTAACAAGAGCTTGACAAAAAAAGTAAGATGTATCGGTTCTAACCGCAACCAGAATTCAAATTTGGAAAAAATTAGAACGTGAATTCATCAACATTCAGTTGCCATCATATTAAAATGTTATTCAATTTGATCAAGAGGTTTTCTTTTTATATGGGGTTAGACAATTAATTTGTAGAGTTACAACCTAGAAAAACAAACGAGAACTTTGCATAGCTTCCGCTTAGAAATTGGTGGTCAAATTTTTTCTTGCAAAGAATGTATAATTAAACTGGTTTTTAATTGAATACTAAACTCGTTTATATATGAAGAATAACTATTTTCTTAGTGAGTTTTGAACTAAGTCTCCATATTTGCGCTGACAGTACCTATGTAGGTATAAAAAGTAAGCATTTTCCTCCTAACAATCAAGCCGTAGATTGTGTTGCTAACTTTTTCTATACAACTAATTTTTAATCTACCAGACCAAGAACGCAGTTATAGATATAGCATTAGCATTATTTTCTACCTCGACAAAATCCTAACATAATTATAGCCGTAAGGGTATAAATGGAAACTACCAACATAATGCTACTGTAAAATTTCAATCGAAATAGTAACTTTCAACTAGGATTAACATCAAATTAATATTACCGTACAGCTCCTCCTTATTTAATCCGAAAACATCCCAATTTCCACAGTACCGGTTTGTCAACGACTGAAATGCTTCCTCTCCTTTCCCTCCTGAGATGTGTTGGTTATCTTCGTCCGACACTTTCGACTTAACATCTTCCTCGACCACGTTTTCTGAATTTTCTGTCAATGCTTCCTCTTCTTCTCTGTCCATCTGTCCGACATCTTCCTCGACCCAGTTCTCCGATTCTTCCGTCAATGTTGCCTCTTCTTCTCTGTCCATATATCCAATATCTTCCTCGACCAAGTTTTCCGACTCTTCTGTCCATGCTTCTTCTTCTCTATCCATCTGTCCAACATTTTGCTCCACCGGGTTTTCCGAATCTTCTGTCAAAGCTTTCTCCTCTTCTCTCTCCATATGTCCAACATCTTCCTCCACCACGTTTTTCGAAACTTCTGTCAATGCTTCCTCTTGGTCTCTTCCAATCTGTCCAACGTCTTCCTCGACCACGTTTTCTGACTCTTCTGTCAATGCTTCCTCTTGTCCTCTGTCCATCTGTCCAACATCTTCCTCGACCACGTTTGTCGACCCTTCTGTTAATGCTTCCTCTTCTCCCCTGGCCATCTGTCCAACATCTTCTTCGACCACATTTTCCGAATCTTCTGTTAATGCTTCCTCTTCTTCTCTGTCCGTCATTGAAACGTAGAAAGCTTTTCAATTCAAACTGTGTTCAAGACTTATATAGTGTAGAAGTATTCAAGTATCTCAAAGAGCAATGCCAAATTTAAATTACATTCTGAAATTAGCCACCTTATCTTTTTTCCGTTTTTAGCACGATACACTTACAACGGTATGCTCTTGCGCATCTAGCGTGACGTCACGTGCGAACAAAACCACAGAATATAGAGCAAAATTACGATGCTTAGATCGACAAATCACAAGGTTAGTTGACAAATCATACTGATTTGTGTAGAGATCCTCGCGTAAGTTATTTCTGGGATTTCGTGATCGTATGAAATAAACTCTAACCAAAAACATTGGCCCTAAACATGAAATGCGGCTGTTTCAGTAAAAATTATATAATTAATGCGTTATCAAAAGATCTAATCTCTCCTCCGTGTCCCTTTTATTTTGATTTTCATTATTACGCCGTAGTTTTAAAGTAGGTAAAGCATCAGGTTTCAAACATCCGCTGTTTTTAAAAGTAGGTCTAAGAAGTCGTTCCCTTAGCGGTGCTTCAAAACGGCTGGCTTCAAAATGTTCATAACAAATACAGGATATAGGATTAAACAGCAATGGAAAGACTTAAACACACCACTTAATAATAATGTAACACCATTTTTCAAGGTAATATTGTCCTTACGACGACTTGCAACAATCCATTTTAGAGAAAAGTCTTCAATTTTCGGAAATCGAAACTACCTATTTTATTTCCACACACAACCTGGCATTTTGGAATTTTCACTAATGATTACTTAGCTATCAACAAATTAACGCTATAAAACTCGTAAATACAACTGAAAAGGTGCAAACTGTCACGCGTGACATCTGTACTGGATTTTTCCGTGCGTAAACATTTGAATTTTGGCGCCACACGTTCGCAGGTGACGTAATGCGCAGTAGAAAACGCGTTTGAGAAAAATAATGAGCATACCGTGTGTAAGTGTATCGTGGTTTTTAGGAAAATATTTGAGAAATCACGTATGAAAATCGAGTTTTTCATCATTTTGCGACCATGACTAATTAATTTTAAATGAGCAAATAGCCATTGCTATCTCACAGGAGCAATAATCTCATTCAGTTGCAAGGCAGTGATTTTGATAGATGGTACAGGCATGGTTACCTACTTTTGAAAAAACCTTTGGCTGTGTAATTGCATGTCAGTGACGATAGCTATTACAGAGACAAATATGTGTAATATTGAAAGCGAGATAAGTAAAGCAGAATCTGTCTAAAATACGATTAAAGTAGAGTAATGTAAAGACCCGTTTTTGATCATTTTTAAAACAACATAAATGTCCAGATCTTTTCCTCCTTTCTAGGTACTTCCAAACATTGAAATTCTTTATGTGCACATTTTCTGGAACACCATACCCTAGTTTTTTAATAAAACTAGATTAACGCTATACCTTCACCAGTTAAACATTTTAATTTCATGCTATGACAAAGTAAGTAATAGTTATATTAATCATTTTGACCCCAGCAGTTATTCACCAACATGAGATTTGACATTACCGGTAAATGTTTGTTACATTCAAATAAATTTTACGTGAGGAACCTTGCTGTATAATAGCGCATAATAATTAAAGTTAATAAAAACATACTTTGACACATTTTCAAGAACACAGATTTATTTATAGGTACCATCTTTATGTACAGCGACATATCTGACATTTTAATTTGAATTATAGACATCGACATGTAGTGTGTTAGCAACAATGCATTTGATTTCTATTACTATAGCAATTACTTTGAAGGTGTTTTTCTACATAAAAGTGCACCAAACGAACATGTTCCAACAATATCGCACATAATGCAATAAAATAATACGACTATAAGTAAAAGTTTCATAAATCACACTATATCTGTATATCATTGACATACATATTATAACGACTATATTATTTCAATGTACAAATCTTAGTAGAGGCAATTAAGGGAAATAATGCACATAAATGATGCGGTGACCCTTCAATTTTAATTGTATAAACTTATTCAAGTTGGCATTTGTCAAATGACGTGACATTTCAATTTGTTATTTCATCAAACACACTAATTTATTTATTTACGATTTTATTATTTTATACTTTTGTTTGCCTAACTATGATTTGAAAACACCGAAAGTATCACTTTCACTTCTTCAATGGAGGCAAAGACGATGCCAATTTGATACTGATTATCGATTAATGTATTCGAACGGGCCCAGAAAGTCGGAATTTTACCCGCATATTAATAGGCAATTATTGTCACGTTCAAATTTGTAAGTCTAATTTAACGCTTAATAAATGTCGAAATAACATGTTAAAGATTAATTTAGCTGGCGCCTTAATTCAATTTCATTAAAAAGTTTATGAGATATGTTTACGTTACTATTCTAGAAAAGGAAATTTCCAATTTCTTTTATAATCGGTAATTTAAATTATTAGCACCATGAAGTGTCGCCAAATTCTTAAAGGTGGTCAGTTTTGGAATATGATGTAACTGTGTATTAGTTGGACTGCTTAAATAAAAAGACAATAATTTAGTAGGTAGATAGGTATTCTCAAGATCTCTACACAACCAAAGTGTCCTATACAATATTACTTGAAAAGCTTGACCTTCTATTATACTCAGGATACGGTCTGCATAAATAACATTGTTAGCTTTTATACCTCCACTAATGAGAATTTTCACCGCGGTTGTCCTACTGTGACTGTCTCATATTGTGTTATGTTTATGTAATAACTGTATTCATTAATTCATCTATACATATCCAGAGATGTTGAGTTGTCTATTTGCAACATAACATTATTAAATCAATTGTGCGTGTTGGTATGCATAATAAAGTAATTATGGTCTTTCTAATACAGTCCAAGAAACCCCGAAGAAAACTTACATTCATCCAATCTTGTATCAGCTTCCTGCGCAGAACAAACACAGCTGATTTGGAAATGTGATTCACCATTAATTTAAATTTGGTTAAATATTGAATTTTGACTTGCTTTATACCTCCTGTTATACCTCGACTATAGAAGATGCTATGGTAACTCTAGCATCATCATTTTTTCAGGAAAAGGCAACGACAACAAAGATCTTGCGCCAAACTGTGTTGTTATTATTTTATCTTATCCCTCGTTCGTACTAAATAAAAGTCCTCTACGGTACTGATAAAAATTTTTCTATCACAATTAGTTTTACTCACAGTTAGCTCTATAATGAAATTTAAATACCCCTTACCTTGAGGAAGTTTAGCCTTTGATCTCCTTTTTAAATCTGAAAATCAAAACTTGACACTCTGGTTTGACTGCAGATGAATAAATACGAATTCCAAAATAAATAACTGAATATATTGACAAACTAAAGTCGATTCAATTCCATTCTCCTTTACACTTCTCCTGATTTTAAAATATTACTTTATTTTCTATAAACACAGAAAACAGAAAATTAAACATCTATCTCGTGCCCACGTTCCAGGTCTAATTTGCCGTTTACTTAACTTCAACCAACAACAAACTTAGGGCAATTTTATACAGGGTGGCCTACTGAAAACAACAGTTCAAACACGTCAATTTTAGTTTTGAGGGGTACATGTAAATTAAATAATGTTATTTACGTAACTTTAACCCTGAGAAGGGGGTGGAAAAGCACCCCAAAAATTTTAAGTGAGAAAGGGTGGTAAACGTTAGATAGTTCTATACGCAGTTTCATTCTGTTTTTATTTTTCAAATCCGATCAGTAGTTCCAGAGAGAGCCTATTTAAATGGATTTGCAGAGCCGTTTTAAATGGTTATCAAGTAGGCGTTGAAATAATTGATTGCTTGTGTTTGAGACAAGTGTAATGAACTGCACCAATACGAGCGATAAGGTCACTTCCGGTTGACAAGTATTGAACAAAATTTAATCAGTTAATCTGTTGACCATTGTTACTGAAGATCGAATTGGAAAATTCGAAACCGATCGTGAGTTATCATGTACAGTAGACCCTGACATGGACGAACGGATAAACAGAAAGTCCAAAACTATGAACTCGCTTTTTGTCGCCCGTTAATAAGTGCATAAGCAAGGAAGCAAGTTTGTGAGTGTATTAAATGTATTATTGTATGGAAATTGGCGGTGGAACACTTAATAAAGTGAAACTAAATTTTCCTGTAATTCTAAATTGTTACGAAGTCGCAAGTCCATTTCAATCGAGTTTGCTCTGGAACTACTGATCGGATTTGAAAAATGAAACAATGTTTACCACACATTCCTATTTAAAATTTTCGGGATGCAATTCATCCCCTGTTGAGGATTGAGGTTATATAAATAGGTAGGTACTAAAATGTACCTGCTCGACCGTTTCAGGCAAAACTGTCGTTAAGCGGCCAAAATCGGCATCGGCTGTTTTCAGTGGGACATCCTGTATATGAAATTGTTTATACACATCTTTATAGCTCAATAACATTTGAATGAATGCAAAGGAATATTGTCACTTAAATGAAATATAAATTCCCAACTAATTAAAAAATACCAAATTCCTTTAAGTACCGGGTGATTCATTAGAAGTGATGATCGCTTGAATTTCGCGCGTAAGGTTTTAGTATTTTTTGCATTATTAGATTGACGGTTTGAATTTCGTTAGTAATTTTTTTCTGTCATGACTGTCATTTAAGAAACCAGTGTCGCCGTTAATTGTTGTGTGCCATTTTCGCTTTATTACTTTTTCCATTTTGAACAATTTTTAGAGTTGATGCACTAAAATATGTAAGAAACGTGACTGTGTCTAGTGTTTTTTTTTTTTTTTTTTTTTTGTAGGGTTCAACTACTAAGGTCATATCCCCTTTAATTCACTAAGCATATTATATATCAGCGTATATATTAATCATTTTCAAAAATCTCACCATCTTCATTGCATTTTCAGGGTTTATAAAATTGTCGATGTAGTTGGGCAGTATACCGTTTATCAATCGCTCGTTATTGTATAGTGGGCAATGGCTTATAATATGAGTAACCGTGATGGCCGTATTGCAGTGATTACATTGTCTTGGTACAGTATTCTTTAGCAGATGTTCGTGTGTGACCTTAGTGTGTCCTATCCTCAGACGGTGCATTTTCACGTTGTCCTCTCTCGAAGCATCTTGTAGCGTGTATAGTGTCGTTGGAATAGGTTTTATCTGCGACAGGTGAGTATTTACCTGTGCCCATTTTTCTTGCCATTCTGCAACATATTGCTCTTTTAGGTGCCTTCTGATGTCACTTGCCACCATGAAATTTACATCTGTCTGCTGGTTCGATATCGCTCTACGAGCGGCCTGGTCTGCTTGTTCGTTGCCAAAGATACCAACGTGGCTAGGGACCCAAATAAATTCGAGTGATTTACCTTGCTCCGAAATACGATGTATAGCAGACTGTAGCATGATGTTCATCGGATCTGTGTTGTAGATTTTCTTTAGCCCATTTAGGATATTCATACAGTCCGTAACAACTAAAAATCGGTTGTTTTCCATCATTGAACAGTATAGCACAGCCTGCCATAGGGCATACTGCTCTGCAAAGATGGGCGAAGAGTTTGTATTCAAGCTCCACTCGTATGCTACGCCCTCGGTGACTATAGCACTTCCCACCCCATACGCGTTCTTGGACCCATCCGTGTACACAGGTTGGTATGAGGGATATTCGTTAAGGAGGTTCTCGTATGCCTGCAGGTAAGTGGGTTGTTTTGTAATCTCTTTTTTGTAGCGCATTAGATCTTTTCTTATTTTTATTTCAGGTACCTTCCACGGGACAGTGTCCAGCATCATTTCATGGAGCGGCGCTGGAGGGACTATTCGGCGTTGCTCGAGATGTTCCTGGAATCTGATACAGGCAGGGCGGGTAATGGTAGGTTTCAGTCTGTACAACTGCATGTCTATGTTGAGTATCACCCTATTAGGATGTAATGGCAATGATGAAATTTTAGTCATATAGCTTGCAATTAGTTGTTTTCTTCTAGTGTCCAAGGCCGGTACTCCCGACTCACAATATAAGCTGTTCGTCGGACTGGTAGGAAAAGCTCCAAGACAGTACCTTATGGCTGTGTTATGTATGCTGTTCAAGGTTGCAAGTGTCGATTTACGCGCGGACGAATACATTATGCAGCCGTAGTTAATTTTCGACAAAATCACAGCCTGGTATATTCTTATGAGGCATTTTGTTTCTGCACCCCACTTGGTGTGCGCCAGTACCTTAATTATATTGAGACTTTGGAGGCATTTTTTTTTAACTGTTTTAGGTGCGGTTCCCAGGTAAGGGAATCATCGAGTGTAAGGCCCAGGAACTTTGCGGTACGAAGACATCTGATTGGATCGCCTGACAAGAATAATACGGGGTCATAGTGCGGTTTACGTAATCTGCAAAAGTGTACACATTGAGTTTTCTCTCTAGAGAAGCTCAGGCCGATACTATTTCCATTCGTAGTTATTTGATCTATCGCGGGTTGGAGTTTACGGGTTATTTCTCCAACAGTTTTACCCGAAGTTTATAATTTGTGGTAAAACAGAAGCAGTATTTGTAGATTATAAATCAGAAAACGATTTACTGAAAGCATGATGATACACCACTGCAATTAAATAAAAGATCATCAGTTAGTACCAACTTCATAATTTTTTTGATTGGCGGGAAATTCAAATTGTCCTCACTTCTAATGAATCACCTTGTATATGGATCCACTTATAATAAATAAATGCAATACAAATCTGTTCCGTGCGATTAATTTCCACATATCGATTCCTTTAGGGATATTATGATTACGCTAAATAAACATCCGCTGCAAATTCAAATAGCCGACCAATACTTTATACCTAACGGCCCTCCCTTCAAAAAGGCTTCCTCCAAGAAAAATTGAAACTGAATCACTTTTGGGGTAATACAGTTAAACCCTCTTGTGACTTGCTCTTATTGTATGGAAATTTTCAAGCACAGTGATAATTTTGAAATAATTTGGGACTTTTTTTAACATTAATTTTTTTACCCAAACACCACGGCCGTGGCACGGAACGAACACTGCACGGTTATGTATAAATCGACGTCCGAACCAATTGCCTCCGCAAATCTTTTCGTCCTCTGAATTATCATTGCCAATGGCCATATTTTCATACCAGTTACCACTTTTCCTTCGTCCAGTGGCGAACCGGTCTTAAAAACAGTTTCTCGCTTGTAATATGTTTGTCTCCTTTTGACAGCAGTTTGGAAAATCGGCTGACTGGACAAGCGCTTATTATTCTTAATCAGCTATTTACTATCACAACGCTAGTTTGATCCACCTTGCGCAGTTTTATTAAAAATAAGATTGTACTCAATGCGATTTCGGGGAGAGCCATCATTTTGTCGTTCTACTTGAAAAAGGTCATTGTACAACAGGCCCCAGCTTCAGCTCCTCGCCAAGCTAATTGTACGGCAGAGATGTTGTAGAATTTCTTTTGTACACCATCCGAATTGTTTTCGTCCCAATGATTAATAATGGCGTTAACCTTTGGTAAACTTAGCGACACCGAGCTCATTTTCCTCTCATTTGGATTTGCCTGTAATGATTTCCTTGCTGCACCGCGGGCATCACGTGCTTGCTTAAATTGAATACTCTTGAAGGGGTCTATTGTAATTCTATATTGATTCTAATACTTTTCTTGGATTAACTTACTAGTGATGGATGCAGTGTTGTACGTTATAGTGAATAGTGTAGTGAATATCTTCAAAACAACATTTTTTTAAAAGAAGCTTTTTATGGTATCAAAAATTATAAAATTCCAATCTTCGTACTTAAAACCATAAACCATAAAAAGTTTCTTTAAGAAAAATGTTGTTCTGAATTGTTCTAGACAAAATTTCTACCCTGTATCACAACCCTAGGTAACATCATATAAACGAACGCGATCCTTCAAATACAATCGATATTTTCTGATTTCTCATGTGGAAAATCCTGTGTTATTCATACATAATTTCTCAACATCGTTGTCTCCGATGGCGATGGGAAGAAGCAAGAAGCTTTGAATATAAAATTATATATTCAAAGGAAGAAGTGAATTGCCCTGGTTTATCCTGTGTTAATTTTTTATCCCTATTAAGTCTGCTTCCCCTGCTATTTAATGTAGGGCATTTAGCAGTTTATCTTAGATGACTTTCATGTCGGAATGTCCATAGTAAATGATCGCCCAGACAAAGAATAGTAGTGACGTAGATATCAATGGTGGAAATTAATTAGTACCTATCTTCTCAACTGACCTCTGATGTATGTCGTTGTCTAAGTTCTAAGCCTCAAAATGCTCGCTTCCTATCCTGACTGTAAAAGTCTGGTGAGGCAAGAGACTTTGTAGTGCGCAAGTTGTTCAAGAGAGAAAATGTGACATGAATGCACGAGCACACTGTATACATTTGTTAAACAAGTGTTGTAGTTTTATTTGCCTTACAAAAGACGGTTAAACTGGAGGTCTTATAAAGCGGAAAATATTTTAGATGAAATAGTTTCATAATTTCTTTGTATTAGTTTTTCTGGGCTTGACTAATTGACTCTGCTTCATCGTTGGACGCCCTGCCCTGTATACTAACGGATTACAATACATGTTTTATAACCGAGGATCGATGTCCCGAAAAGAGTTGGTGGGGAAAAGCGCCTAAAGAAAGTGACTCAATCTCAATAGACACACAGGGAGTCCCAGATCGAGTTGGATTGCATGAGAATTTTTGTTACTATTAAAGATAGTGATTAGGGTGAATGGGAAACACTTTGCACTTTTGTGTGTTGACTAAAATCCGTAGAAAATTTAAAACAGATTAAAAGCGCTTATTTATAGAAAATTAATTACCCTCTTAATTAAAAAGTCTGAAAACAGTTTAATATAATAGTGTCTCAATTTTATAGGAAAAACTCAAAATGAAATTCCAGATATAAAAATATGAACTTCCTATTTTAAATATGTGAATATTGAATTTTTATATGATTAAACGAAGTTTTTTATTCTCTTTCCAACGATATCGCGTCAGATTGAACAAAGGATACTTGTAAAATTATTTTTTTCCATTTTAATCAAAAAGACTGAGATAACTTCCTTAATAAATTTAACAATTACACCAATGTGTTTTTATTCAATCATTATACGTAATTATTTAGATTCGCGGTTTCCGAAATATGCAGGGTGTCCCATTAAGAATGCTCACAGGCCATATCTATGGAACCGTTAATTGCACAGCTTCGGGAAAACAATTTTGTTAACAAAAGGGGCCAAGAGACATCGTTGGAAATTATTTTCAAGTTTCTATATTGGCCGCTATAGGGTGTACGATTCATGGTTAAGTAGAAAAATGACTTTTTTCCTAAAATATACCAAACATGCATAAAAAATACATGCGTAGCAATATTGTATCAATTTTGCATGACATATTGCTCTAGCTCATAAAATATGAGGCGTGGGAACATCTATTTAAGGAATTGATTGTAACTTCGGTTTAGGTTAACCCATTTTTAACATAATAGGTCTTGTTGGAAAGAGCTTTCTCTCAAATCCAACTTGGATGGATTGCAATTAAAATTTGTGAATGTTCTTATTTTCGCAATATCTCTGCTTAGGAAACATATATCAAAATACGGTTTTCACTAATATTCTCACTTTTTCATCTCATTTGATAATATCATATAATAATTATATCGTTGCATTTGAAATTTTCAAAAAAACATGCAAAGGTTATGCTTATGTCACATCGCGCCCTCTACAACTCATCATATTTACTAAAAAGACTCTATTCATGTAAAATCTGATTCCACGAAGAGAGGTCTTTTCAACAAGACCTATTATCAAAGAGTACCCTACTATCAAAGGGGTAAGTACTCTTTTTGCCTATTATGTGAAAATCCGTTAACCTAAACCGAAGTTACATTCAATTCCTTAAAGAGATGTTCCCCTTCCCTCACTCCTAATATTTTATGGGCTAGAGCAATATGTGCTGCATCAAAATGATGCAAAATGGATACAAGATTGCAATGCATGTATTTTTTATCCATGTTTGTGGGGTATATTTTAGGAAATAATTAATAAATAATTTGTTAACAAAATTTTTTTCCCGAAGGTGTGCATTTACCGATTCCATAGATATGGCCTGTGGCCTTTATTAATGGGACACCCTGTACACTGCTTAAGCTTAAGGAAACAAATCAGCATTTGGCATTTTGCGTAAATCGACGTTAAAAATATATAACTTTTTATTAGATGGTCCAAAATAGATGACTTTCTTTAATTTTGCAGGTTTGAAATGTCTACGAAACTTGTCGATTTTTATGGAAATCAAATTAACATACCGTAAACACCGTCAAATAAAAATATAAAATACACTATAAAACTAGTTTTCTATCCTCGTACGAGTTTGTAACTAGAAAAACCAACGTTTGCGACTTTTGGATTCAAAATATAAAAGTTAGCACAATTCCAAGAAAAATAATCTAAAGCAAAATGTTATTTTTCAATATTGGTTAAAACCTCTTCTGTGGGTAAATTTTATTGCTATTGACTTGAGTAAACAGTTCTAAAAGCCAAAAGGGTTTGCACTTTTTTTAATTCATAACACACGTGCGTAAACACATGGGGATATGTACAACTTCACGCGGCGGTTTTTAGTTAAATCAATTCGACACAAAGGAAATTCACTTTTCACCAAATCCTTTACTTGCTGCGAAATTCCACTTTTGCGGTACACGTAGCCCTGTGACTATATTTTGGTTAGGTAAGTACATTGTGTCTATAAATCCAATTCGACAAACAATTTGTAGGTCTTTATTTTGGGTAAAAAGTCAATGCATGAATAATTTCGGGCATAAAATACGAGTAGGTATATTCTCAGCCTCGGAGAACATGCAAAGTACGTTTTGAAATGAATGCTAATTTGGGTCTTGTTACTTTAAGCAAAACTGTGTTAACAGCAGATGTAGGTACTCAATAGGTATCTATGTTGTACCTTCTCTAATTTCTCGAATAAATAAATGCGGATTTCCGCAATTGGCGCGAATACGAGCCCAGGCACATGTATTGGACCAAAACCAATATGCAGCACAATTTTCCGAGTTATTATAGTATTATAAATTTAACGATTACTATGTGGTTTTGCCAATTAATCAACACTAT